GAGGCAATTTCCCAGTCGAGAATCCCTCTTCCTAGGTGCGTAAGTTGACAGCTGAAGCTATGATACACAGTCTTTAAAAAAAAAAAAAAGAAAAAAACAAAAAAAAACCTCAGTTGGTATCAACTGTGTTCACGGCTTAGAATAGACTTAGTATTTTGTCTCGTTCAATTTTACTAGTTTTGTTCAGTTCCAAACCTGAAACAAAAGGCTGAGGTGCCCATTTAACATGTGGAAGTGGAGAATGGCTGCCAGCTTCTCTCTGCATCCTTCAGTCCCTACCCATTACAGGGTCCTCCTGCCTGGAATACCCCACCTCCTACTGAACTCTCCAGCACAGGGGACTGGCCTATTCTTCCATATACAATTCAATCATTTTGGTTACCTGGACTCTTTGTACCTTCGGCCCTCTTGGCTGCTGCATCTGGTTCCTAAAAATTGCACTGCTTTCTTTCAGGAGAGAATTCAGTGTAGCTAATGAATTGCTTCAGGTCATTGATGTGGAGAGGAACCTACTCTCCAAATACAAGTAAGACCTGCCAAACTATTCCATCTTCTCACTATCCTACTTGATGAGGTTTCCATAAGATCATCCATTTGGGCTTTCCCCTAGGCTTCCTCTTACTGCATGATACTTCGTTCTCTCTATTATGCTACTAATTGGCATCTTTTGTCTTTGTAAGTATGTTGTCTGAAAAATCCAGGGCAATGGTGTATGCATGTTCAGAAGATCCCGGGTTAGCAGTGGTCAGAGTGGAAAACATAACCAATACCTCAGGGAGATAAACGTGCTATGGGCTGGGCTTAGGCCCTTGACTTCAGTACTGGTGTGTGTGTGTGTGTGTGTGTGTGTGTGTGTGTGTGTGTGTGTGCTGTGGTGTGTGGGTTATGGTGAATTGCCACAATCCCACAAGTCTGCACAGCAAAAGTACAGCTGGCAGACCAAGAGACAAATGCGCAGGAATGTAATCTGGTGGAGATCCCAGTTTGCAGATGTCTGGGAACGCCTGTCTTTTGGATAAGTTACTGTCAATTCTGTAGAAATCCTGTGGAATCATGCTGTTTCTCCCTTCTATAATATCCCAGCAGTATGTAAATCATTTGTTGAGATAATTTCTTCCTGTGTGGGCACCTGGATCCCCTCTCTCACACCGTGAAGCCCTGGTGTGAAAGCAATCACTCAGCCAAAGCTTTGTTCTAATAGTCAAATCTGCTAAGTTAGTCCCCACAATTACCCTTATTGACAGGACTCGTTGACAGGAAAGGAGCCCCAAAGAGGAGGCACTGAACAGGAGAGACAGTATGTCTGCTCTCCTGACAAGAGAGTCTGGGTGGGCCTGAATTCTCTAGCAGCAGACTCAGGAAGGTGGAGGAATCTACTGGCCTTTTGCTCTAACCCAACAAGCTACTAATAGTCTGTATTTATTCTTCACCTTGGTTTCAATTAACGTAAGATCATAGCTCAGGAAAATTAACTGTTTCTGTTTTTACCCCTAGAGATACATGAAAAAGGCTTGAGTCACTAACCCAGCCTCAGGGAAAGAAATTCTCACTGGGTACTGGCAGGTACCCTGCTGGAGCTGAAAGCAAAATCTTTAAAGAGGTTTTTTTTTTTTTTTTTTTTTTTTTTCTTATTTTTCTCAGGCAGCTAGGTACAAATCAAGCATCTTGCCTTCCTCCCAGGCCCACAGGTTGCTATGGCTACCAAAGGTGAGTTCCCAGCTGCCAGGGAAGTGGAAATGTTTAGAAAGCACAGCAGCGCTGCTGCATTTTCCTACAATTATCAACCATAAACTCCTAGTTACAGTTAAAGACTGTAGTTAGTGCGCGAGAACGCCTTAGAATTCTGTATTTTAGAATTTGTAATTTAAAGTCCCATTCTTAACTAATCCTCCTGATATCTGCCAGGAGCTTCACAGCCACTACCCCACTCTGAGATGTAAGAAGCCTCCCTTACCTGCCTCTGGGACTCTAAAATGCGTGTTTGATGCTGTTGTCACCGCCTGTGGAACTGCTAACTTGTCTGTACGCCTCTATAAACTGAAAACCTTATGGAGAACGTTCCTTTTTTCTTCCTCGCCCAAGGAATAACTTAACCTGCAGAAGAAAGGTGCTTGAGTCGGTTTTTTCTACCCTTTAGATCCCTTTTCCCAGCCAGTTTTCTCTGGCTGTAGACATCCTGTTCTGAGGGAGCTCTAAGGCTGGTACTCAGTAGCCTCTGATAGTGCGTGTGTGTGAGTTGTAGTGTGTGTGCTGGTGCTTGTGATTGAACCCAAGGCCTAATGAATAAAATTCTAGGCAAGCACTCAACTTCTGAGATATAGTCCCAGATCCCCACACCTCCACCTACTGGTTTTCTGATTTAGCTTTAAGGATGTTAAAATAGTTTGGCCAGATGTCTTTGGGAAGCCTTTCGGAAATACCCGTGTGGAAAGGCTCAAGAGTAGGTGAGAACATTGCTGCTTCCTTTATTTGTGACATAAGAGTCACTCTGCCCTCATACTGCTACTGAGTACACTAGGTAAACTGAGGGAGGAGTGAGGCAGCTCAGCAACCTTCAGCTTCCTGCTTCCCCAGCTGGCGTTGCGTTGCCCGTCTGAGAACACAGAGTTCTTATCTTGTTTTCTGAGCCAGGCCTCTCTCTGATCCCAGGCTGTGGCTTGGGAAACAGCCTCAGGGGCTGGCTGTGTTGCTCTGCTGATCTAAAAAGGCTTCTTCCATCGCTGCATTCCCAGGAGGGCGTGAGCGGCTTAGCTGATAGCATCATCCCGATGTTCTCCCCCGGTTTGCTTTTTTTTTTCCCCCAAACAGCTTTTTATATAACTCATGATTTTCTTTTTTTTAAATTTATTTATTTATTAAAGATTTCTGTCTCTTCCCCGCCACCGCCTCCCATTTCCCTCTCCCTCCCCCCAATTAAGTCCCCCCCACCTCAGCCCGAAAAGCAATCAGGGTTCCCTGTCCTGTGGGAAGTCCAAGGAACCCCCACCTCCATCCAGGTCTAGTAAGTTGAGCATCCAAACTGCCTAGGCTCCCCCAAAGCCAGTGCGTGCAGTAGGATCAGAAACCCATTGCCATTGTTCTTGAGTTCTCAGTAGTCCTCATTGTCTGCTATGTTCAGCGAGTCCGGTTTTATCCCAGGCTTTTCCAGACCCAGGCCAGCTGGCCTTGATGAGTTCCCAGAAGAACATCCCCATTGTCTCAGTGTGTGGGTGCACCCCTCGCAGTCCTGAGTTCCTTGCTCGTGCTCTCTCTCCTTCTAACTCATGATTTTCTACAGCTTCACATAGCCACCTTTGAGTGTAAGGATCTATGATTAGTCACCTCTGCATAAGGAAATGGGAAAGTACTTTGAATCATCACAGGTAGATATGGCCCAAATGGAGCTCCATTCCCCAGTAACAAAACTACCAGGACAAAACACAGTCATTCCAGAGCCAGGAAAGAAAATCTGTTAGATCGGCTCCAGGACGATACACAATAACGCCTCTGACAGACTCCCACAGAGGAAGGAGTGCAGTTTTGCAAAGGCATGCGATGACTTTTTTTTTTTGATTTTTCGAGGCACTCGGGAGGCAGAGGCAGGCGGATCTCTGTGAGTTCGATGCGATGGCTTTCTTATTTGTTTCCAGGGTCTCGTGTACCTCAGGCTGGCCTTTAGCACTTCCTGTTTCTATGTCCAGAGTGCAGGGTTCGTAAGGGTATAACATCATCCTCAGCTCAAATCTCCAACTTGATTCAGCAGAGCACAGACGAGAGCGCCTTCATTCCCAGCTGACAAGGCGCTCACTCTGACCCAGGCTCCGAACTCCTAGAGAAGGGGGCCGGGCAGCCTGGAGCCCTGCAGGTGCTTCTGTTTCAGGGGGAGAGGGACCCGTATAGAGTTCAACCCTGTGCTGGACTAGCACATGCTCCCTGCGAACTGGTCACCAGGCAATGCAATCTGCTTACTGTGCCCACAGGCGGTGCGTAATGATCTTCTTGGAGCTTATTCTCCAGTGCCCACCGCTGTGATCAGGTGAACGCTGGTATGGCGGTGGGGAAGCTGTGTGTTCCGAAGACCCTTTATGTCCTCAGGGATTGGCTGCTCTTGCTGGTGGTCACGTTTTTGGGTCCCTACTTCTAGGGCCACTGTCCTCGTGGTTTCTGTTGTTAGTTGTGAGTGATTATGCCCCCCCCCCCACTTCTTCCCTTTCTTTTTTTCCCCTGCCTCTACTGAAGCTGCAGCTACTTGCGCAAGCTCCCCACTGTTCATCATCTCATCCTTCTGTCTAGCCTGCAAGATTGCTACTGCAGTCCCAGCTGGAAAAGAGGAACCATAAAGAGAATCATCCAGCCTCCAGGCCCATGTGCTGGGGGAGGCATGGTGAAGGGTCGCAGAATGAGCCAGGGATGGGCACCATCTGCCCCCCCCCCCCCCGCTTCTCTCCAGGGGAATACTGGGTTTTAAACGGATTGTTAAAGAGCCACCTTTGAGGCGGGTGTTGGTGGCGGTGGCGCACGCCACCCTGCACTGGGCAGGGGCGGGGGGTGGGGGGAGGAGGCGAGGCATCTTTGAGTTTGAGGCCAACCTGGCCTACAGAGCGAGTTCCAGGCCAGTCAGGGCTACACACAGAGAAACCCTGTCTAGAAACCCCAACAAAACAAAATGAAACAAAACAGCTAAGTCACTTTTCTATGTGGCCATCGGCGTGTGTGAACAGAACTTAGGCCTTCAGGTGTTGGGTCAGAGGATTGCTCTAGTCTTGGTGAGCTATCTCGCCAGGAAAGAGCTGGTACTGAACTGTCTGAATTAACGGGAGGCAAAGAAATACCCGGTGTGACCTCTGGAGACCTTTATGCCTCGCTGCATATTTTACCAAAGTCAGAGCTGTCCGCTGAGCTGTGACCTGGCGTCTCAGGTTTTGCACACCCACATACCCGCATGCTGTCCCCTTCTTGCAGGCACGTCGTGCTCATTACACCCCTAAGCTGCCGCTGCCTCTGTGCCTCGAAGGCTCAACCCACAGGAACCACCGGGGAGCAGAAAGCAGAGCCAACAAGCCTAGGACTGGATACATTGGAAACTAAATTGGGCCTGAGGAGAGCCCTTTCAGGTTGAGGAGCGCAGCTCTCTCATTCTGGTCCCCGGACACCAGCATCAGCAGGAGCGTACGTCCTCATCGACTCATCAGAGTATGGCATCTCAAGGCTGCAGTCGGGCCATCACCTGCTTACTCTGCCTGGGAGTCAAGGAGGACCAGGAAGAGCAGCAGGGTCAGTACCGGTATGGAATTGGTGTTTTAGTGATCGCCGGGAAGCAAATATCCCTGGCAGAAGGGAATGAGCGAAGCAACAGCACCCACCGTCAGCTCACTTTATACATAGCTCTTCAGTGCTTTGTCTCTCCTTTTCGTGCACACTGAGCCCTGATGCCCTGAGCTTTCTCTGGCTGTTTCCTCTTTTGCAGATATGAACGCACAGATGATCTTTCAGGCTGGAGAGGGGAGAGAGAAGAAAGGTGTACGGGGCCAACCTGGAGTGGGAGGAGTGGGAGCAGACAGTGAAGGAGAAGAATTAAAAGGAGAAAAAGGAGGCCCCTTTGGTCCTGATGCTCCAGGTCCTGTGGGTGATGGGAAGAAGAATGGTGGCACCAGCGGAAGTGGCGTGGAGCAAGAGCAAATGGAGCTGGTTGCTGAGGGTACGGAGAGCCAGAAAAGCCTAAAGCCTCCGGAGAGGTCAATGGCCCGCCACCAACTTCGGTTCACCCAGCGGCAGCTGGAGCAATGGGAGACCATTCTCCAGCACAGTTGAGCCAGCAAGGTATGCAGACACGCCTTACCTTGCCCCTAGTGGGCAGTTTTCAGAGAACACATGTTAGTTCAAGGTGATCTTGGTTCTCTCCCAGGGCCCCCTTATCCCCTCTTGAAAGAAAGGCCACCTGGCAACTCTAGACTGCCCAACTCTATCCTCCTGCAAATGGGGGTTGGGGTATGACGAAAGCTAGGGCAGCCGCGAAGGAAACTACTTTCTTGCTGTATTTAAACGAGTCCGGTTAGACTGCAGCAAGGCAAGGTCTTGCCAGAGCAGAGTGAGAAGCCTGAGGTTGGAGTTCTGCCTTTGCTTGAAATTTTATATCTGTTCATCTCTTGATTGCTTTGTGTGTCTTTAAATTACATTGGACCATGATGTATTTTGATGAATGATTTTATTTTTTTGGCTTCCCCTTTAAGTTGGTACCGGGTGGTGGTGGGAGAACTCAGGGTAAATTAAGCCTCAAGGTGGATGCTGCAAACACTGTTGGGGGCAGGAGGAGGGGTTGATAGGACAAACATTGAAGCATGAACATGAAATATACTGTGCCTGCTTTAATTTCATCCACAGGGCCACATACTGAATGTGTTTTGTTTGTTTGTTTGTTTTTCCTTTTAGGAAGGATCTCGCAAGATGGATGGGTGTAAGTGAGTCCTGAATGTAGGTCGGTAATCTGAAAAAAAAAAAAGCCGTTTGGCAGGATAGCCATTCTAAAACTCACCTGAGATCTTGAATACCTTTGTCCTAGATATATTGAGTTGGTGGGCTGTTGTTGAAGTCTCTAGGTTTGGGGAGGGTCTTTAAACTCTGTGGGTACAAAATGGAGTCAGAAAGCCCCAGCATGTGAGAACGTGGCTTCCTAAAGGGAAAAAGAATATTACTGCCCTTTACATAATATTGGGGTAAAGAATGATGTAGAAATCCCCTAAGTTTGACCTGGAGAGATGGCTCCGCCGCTAAAGGCTAGGCTCACAAGCAAAAATAGAAGAAATCACCCAAATTTATGAATCTATGAGCTCTGTGTTATTATTTCCGATAGTAAATTTAAGCATAAATTCTAAGAGGAAGGAGGGAATTTGTAAATCTTCAGCCATTGTAGTGATGGGATGGGGAGAGCATACAATGCCTGCTTCTCCTGGCATTGCTGCTTCAAATTCACTACCTTGCTGGTAAAGCAAAGTAGTGAATGGCAGACCTGAATTTAAATTGTCTGGTACATCTTGGTGTGTCTTCCTGATATATGAAGAGTCCACATATGATGGTGTTTACCCATAATACCACGACCCTGGAGGTGAAGATCAGGAGTTCAAGGCCAGCCTGGGCCACATCAGACCCCGCCTCAAATAAAAGCAGACAGACGCGCACGCCTCAAACCCACACATTTATGTTGGTAGTGAATGTCTTTCTGACATCAGATCGTTTTCCTCATCCCTGTCAGGCATCATGAAGAACTGTTTTGTGTGATTGGTTGATGGTGGGGGCTAAACCTCACTGTGGGTTAAATTCATACCTGTGGTAGTTTGGAATATTTTTTCCATTTTTCTCGGGCAGAGGTAAGTGGATTTGCAGCTCACTGGACTCAGAAGTGGTCGCGTGAGAGCAGGGGAAAGTCCAAGCTGTACAGGAGTTCTTCTGGGAAGAAGGAAAGTAAAAGATTCAAAGGAGCATAGGGATAATGGCATTAGGTGTATCTCTGAGTTCCCTCTTGTGTGCTCACTAACGGAAAGGCCCTGAAGACTGGGGAGGTCGCGTCTCTAGAACACCAGCTGTTCTCAGGCCCCTAAGGCTACGTACATCCCAAGGCTACACTCCAGGCTTAAGCCAGGTTTGGCTCAGGGTGCTCAGGGCACAGTGCGTAGTACGGCATTCGCTTTCTGAGGAGTTCAAAGCAGCCCTGGAATGGAGAAGCTGATAATTGCCAAGCTGCTTTGTCCTGCCCTCAGTTTACCTAGTGTGCTCTCAATGGCCCTCTGAGGGCAGAGTGACCCACATGCCACAAAGAAGGTGAAGGACTGTGTTTTAAAATTCAGACATCTTAACATGAATGTCTCCAAAAGGCTTGTCCCACACCTCGCCTGCTCTGCTTTCTGAGCATCATCAGAACTACATTGTGAAAGTGTCCTGGATGTGAGCGTGGTCCTCATTTTCCTTCCTGGAACAGTTGGTTCTCTTTGTTAATATTGCTATTGCTATTGTGGAGCTCCTGGCCATGAGTAGTGCTGAATTTGCAGGCCACATACTTAAAAGGGAGAAGTGCTCCCTCTAGTGGCCCAGGAGAACGAGGCAGCATTCAGAAAGAGCCCTTTGCCTCACCCTATATACAAACTGAATGGCCAGTATCTACTACAGAGCCTGAAACGTTTCCTGGTGCTCCCTGGGGTTTGCTGAAGGAAGGGCGCAGTGTTTTCCGTCCTAACAGGGTTCTTCTGGCCTTTCCCCTGTAGCTCCGTGATTGGAAGCCAGAGTTCACACACATTGAGCAGTTACTATACCCTCAGTCCCTCACTGAATTAGAACAGCATGAAATGAAGGGCTTCTTTGTATGGACTCTACGATCTCACAAATTGGGTTGAGCCTATAACTCAGGAATAAAGCACTTGTCCTGGCATAGTTGAAGCCCTAGGTTCAATCCCGAGTACCTACCAAAAAATTCAACCAAATGTCAGTTGGGTTTTTTTTGTTTGTTTGTTTTATCCGCATGCTTTTTAGTGTACTAATGCGGTCCCTTATCCTTCCACGTGCAGGACTAATTTAAGATTAGGAGCATTGCACACAGAAAAAATGGGAGGAGGACCAGAAATGCACCATCTGGGCCCTAGAACATCTGTCTCTGAAGATTTCAGTGTCACCCTAGTCCCGGAGCAAGATGGGAATGGCTTCTTCTTGTGCCACCAACATCTCAACTGCCTATGCTGACCACAGCCACCGTTACTTCTCAGCCATTCTTTTAGCAATAAAGAGGCGGATTCTCAATATGTTTGTTCCATTGCCTTTGCGATCTCTAAAATATTGTTGTAAATACCTTAGTGATTCTAGTATTATAGAAATGTCCCTTAAACAGAATAACTAAAAGGTATCCTTTCATAATGTGGCATAATTGAGTTGTCTTCCGTATTCCCTACACATCACAGGAAATCTGCAAATATAGTGATGGATCACACTGACCTACACATCCTCCATTGCCACCCCTTGTCACCCCGCTGCCTTCAACTCACCCCACTGCTGTACATACAAGGAAGGACAGGGCAAGCTCCTGCTGAGAATCAGTGTGTTCCCAGATGGGGCTGAAGTCTGCCACTATTCACATGTGTTTTCCAGTACTGTAAATGACTGGGGTGGGTGGGTTCTCTGATGATGAGCTCAGTAGTCCCGGAGGTAGATGCGTCCAAAGTGGGGTGAGGGCAGTGGGAATAGCCAGCGACCGCCTAAGGCCAGTTACACTCCAAGCTGGGCTCTTGATTGAGCCAGATTTCCAAATCCACCCCTGCGTGGTCCTGGGCACTCAACATTGCTGTTCCCGGTTAGTCTCGGACAAATTGACAAGTGCTTTTGGCGTTATCATTCACATTTTGTCCACTAGCGGTGACAGGCATTCTTGAAATTGTTCCCATTCAGTTCACGAGGAGGTGACACACACTCTCGACACTGTTGTTCAATTTAGTTCATGGCGGGAGGGGGCAAAAGTCACTCTTGACTTTGTCTTTCAAAACCTTTTGTCTGTGAGGGCGCGAAAAAACACTCTTGACATTGTCGTTCCCATCTAGTCTGGTCCATTGTGGGGGGTGCCATGCCTGGACTGGTGGTCCTGGGTTCTATAAGAAAACTAGCTAAGCAACCCATGGGGAGCAAGCCAGTAAGCAGCTCCCCTTCACGACCTCTGCACCCGTTCCTGCCTCCAGGTTCAGCCCGGTGTGAGTTCCTGTCCCGACTTCCTTCACTGGTAGACTCTGATGTGGGGCTGGAAGCCTAATAAATCCCTGTGTCACCAACTTGCTCTGGCCATGGTATTTCATCATAGCAGTAGTCACCCTAGCTAGGACAGTCCACAAGGGGACAACAGGCACTCTTGACATAGCTCCCACGTACTTCACAAGACCGCCCCAGATCCTGGCAAGAGCGACCCAGGCTTGCCTAGAACTGCTTCCAAAGTTTCTTTGGCTTTAGTCAGTTAGACAGTTGTACACGGCAGGTCTTACGGTCACACTGTTACAGGGACCCCCCCCCCCCCAGAGATGACCACTCAGACCCAGTGTGTAGCCACCTGAAAGCCTTTACTCCAACTGGCTGGGACCACACCCAGGTTTTTGGAGCAGCAGGCAATGGGACATTTCCAGCCTGGACGGAGCACCCGTGCCTGTCAAATGAAGCATGCCCTCGGAGCCCAGCTCAACAGCCATTAGAAAAGACCATAAGATCCAAGAGCATCAGCTCTATGGCAAGCCGAGCCCTATCTGTAATTAGAGGTTTAACCCGGGAAACAGTGTTATCTATGCAAAGAAGGCACTTCCGAGCGCTGACCATCCCCTGTTAAGGAAAAGCTGGAGAAGGCCACAGTGTGCCATCTGTGACACAGAATCACACGGAAGTGGTACTCCACAGGCATCTTGACTTTTTCAGTCCTGTTTAGTCCACAAGGGGGCGCCAAGCAACAGGCACTCTTTTTTTTCTTTTTAAATTTATTTATTTATTAAGGATTTCTGCCTCCTCCCCGCCACCGCCTCCCATTTCCCTCCCCCTCCCCCGATCAAGTCCCCCTCCCTCATCAGCTCGAAGAGCAATCAGGGTTCCCTGTCATAGTTGTACCCCTTTAGTCCATGGCTGTGGGCCAGTGAGGGGGACAACAGGTGTCCTCGATTCTGTCTTCCCCTTTTGCACAACAGGAAGCAATAGGCACTCTGGACATTGTCACCTTTAGTCCACAAGGTGACTTTACATCCAGGACCACAGGATTCTTCCTGAATTAGGAACCACCTATGCCCTCAAACCTGTAATATCTGTGCAAAATTACAAATGTGGTACGTGGGGTCCCTTTGGGAAGTCAGGCAAGCAGGCAAGGTAGGAAGAGAAGCAGTCACTGCCCCTGTGGCTCAGCTGTCACAACAGGAGATGCGCTGGAGAAGTTCACTCATGGAAGGCAGAGCCAGCCAAGAGGGTGGGCATTAGGCCAGGTGCTGCCCAGAGGCGAAAGGATGGAGTCAGAAGGAGCCCTCTGGGATAGGGCTCCAGTTGCCTGCTGCCCGTCCCACCTGCCAGGGGCCCTGCGTGTCAAGTCAGCTCCAAGACCACGTGACTCTGGCAGTGTGAGTCCTGTGCTTCCATGTCTGTCCTTCACATTTCTGAGACTGATGTTCTGGCACGGAAAAATAAGTAAGTGAAAGAGCTTCCTGTTTGGTTTCCATGGTTTCATGAAAAGTGGAGCCTCTTTTGTGCTAAAAAAAGAATGTCACGTGGAACTTTCACAAAACCCTGTTAGCTTTGTCCTTCCCGTAGCAGCTATGAGATGGCAGGTGACCGCCCTCCTTCTGACAGAGAACCATCTAGTGTGCGAAGTAGAGAAACAGTAACATCCCTGGCTGGGGTGTGGTGCTGCCATGGAGCTAAAGGGGAGGGGGAGTTGGCTGGTCCAGTGGTGGTGGGTTATCATCCAAGATAAAGGTGGGCATAGGACAGCAGATCTATTATTGTCACTTGCTTCTCAGTCTGGAGCCTGATGTGTCTGAAAGGGACAGAGAATGGCAGGGTGACAGCACAAGTATTTCCTCTTGTGTTTTGGATACTGTGTGAGTGTGTGTATCTGTGCGTGTGTGTCTGTGTGTGTATCTGTGCGTGTGTGTCTGTGTGTGTATCTGTGCGTGTGTGTCTGTGTGTGTGTCTGTGTGTGTGTCTGTGTGTGTGTCTGTGTGTGCTCGCATATCTGCATGAGCAGATAGACAACAAATAGAAAGGTTTCAATACACTTTAATTCTTAAATCCTGAAATATAAGGAAAATGTAAACGGACTAGTATGGAAAGCGACAGCTATTTAAGCTAGTTCTACAACCAACAATGTCTATAATTTACAATTATGAGGTTTAAAAACAACATCAAAACCCACAAAATATTAAGCTTTTTTAAAAAATAGAGATAAAAAGATATATATTTTTTTGAGACAGACCTTCCCCATGAAGCCCAGGCTAGCCTTGATGTTGTAATCCTCCTGCTTCAACCTCTCAAGTTCACAGATTCATAAATTGATGAAATTTTTACCTGCAATATCAGAGACATGTTTACACTAATGATGCTATTTGTTATTTATCTGTAGTTCAAATGTACCTTACCCACTTCCAATTCATCAAATGCAGTACTAGTGCCTGTTTCAAAATTGGCATATGAAATAACTTGATCTTTTTGATGTTTGAATTTCTGTACACTGGTTCTTTTACTCTTTCCGTTACTGAAGCAACAAATTTGTCAGAGTGAAAAACCTAAGACATCCACTAAAATCAAAGCAGGAGGCAAGCCTGTTATCATCTTGTTGGGAAGAAGTAGTCAAGCAGGGAAACTGATGTTGTGTTTTCATAGATATCTTTTGGGTTGAGACAGGATCTCACTGTGTAGCCCTGGCTGGCCTGAAACTTGCAATGCAGACCAGGCTGACTTTGAACTCACAGAGATCCGCCTGCTGCTGTCCCCCACATGCTGTGATTACAGTCCAGCACAAACAATCTGTGCTCCCACAGACATTTGTATGCATGTCACTACAAAGTCAGGAGGGTGACAGTGCGGAGGGACAGACATATTGACAAGTTTTTACATCAACTAAAAATGATTAAGATGAATTTACTAATAAACTTACTCAGAAAACAATATTCAATGACATGAAAATAAGTAATGAAGTTGAGGGTTCTGCCACAACCACCGCTTTAAGGCAGGGAGCCCACTAACGGGTTTCACTTAAACCCTCTAAGGAGTTAAAGGAAATAGAGTTATATACTTCTGACTCAATGAAAGTTTAAGTTTGCCGAAGCTTTGCTTTGACGAACTGCTGCCTGCCTAGTCATTCAAGCCCCTTTCTCTTGACCGAAGAAGCAAGTGTTTGACAAACTGCCTTGGAGAAATGACCTTGGCTGCCAGCTGCTCAGAGAGTAAATCTTGCTTTTTTCAAGATAACGGGAACTGTACTTGTCTATGTGAAATGGCCAAATTGCCTAGAAAATGTGATTTGAAGAGATTTGAAAACCACAGTTTCTCCCTGGAAACTAGCTTAATTGCTCTGTGTTGACACCCGCTCGACTTCTCCATGTTCAGCGAGCTGCGCAGGTGTTTTCTTCGGCAATGGGGTCTTGCTGTCAGTTTGTGGAGAGGGACATATAGTCTTGGCAACAACCTGAGTTGTTTACTCAATTATATGTAACCCATTCCTGGCGCTGGAAGCTTCTTTTGGTGACAAGAAATGCCCAGTTGGGGTTCTGTCTCCCCCATTTTTGGGCAATTTCATCGTAGATCATCTTCATACATGGACATATTTTTTTCTAGTTCCATCCATTTACTCCACAAATTTCATGATACCATTTTTAAACAGGCAAGTAATATTTTATTTGTAAATATATTGCATTTTCACCCGTTCTTCTGTTGAGGGACATTTAGGGTGCTTCCAGTTTTTGGCTATTATCAATAGAGCAGCAGTGAACATGGCTGAGCAAGCATGCCTGGGGTAGGACAAAGCATCCTTTGACTATATGTCAAGAATAATATAGCTGGCTCTTGAGGTAGATCAATTCCCACCTTCCCAAGGGGCCACCACACTGATTTCCTCGTGGCTGTACAAGTTTGCACTCCCACCAGCAAAGAATAACTGTTCTCCTTATTCCACATCCTCTCCAGCATGAGCTGTCAAGTGCTTTACTGATCTTAGTTACTCTGCCAGGTATAGGCTGGAATCTCAAAGTAGTTTTGATTTGTGTTTCCCTAGCAACAAAGGGTATCAAACATTCATTTGAAGTGTTTCTTAGCCATTTGAGTTTCCTCTCTGGAGAACTCCATTCAGATCTGGACCCCATTTTTAAA